AAGGGGAACTGGCCACAAGGGAGAGGGAAAACAGTGGGTTTGGGGTTTGCTCTCCCTGAAATGCTGCTCTTTGCCATCTTTCCCTTAATTAGGATCACATAGGCTGAAATCTTGTTTGAGTGGGAGTTGTTTGACATTCCATTCCACGTGTAGAGTTCCAGCTTTTTCTAAGCTGTTCTGTACCTAAGAAGGAGACCCCCTTTTGCTAAGAATAGCAGCTAACATTAAATGATGCCATACATATGCTAAGTGTTTTTACACTTTTACAACAGTCCTAAGTGGTGGTATTATTATATTCCCATTTTCTAAATGAGATAACTGAGGCTCAGGGAGATTGAGAACTTGATGCAACAGTCACCAAGTTACACACAGGTAAATGGAAAAAGAATTCAAAGCTGTTAGTCTGACTTCAGAGCCCTACTCTTCATCACTCAGGGTGTGTTGCCCAGTTTATGATTCTCATCAGGTACATTTTACAGGTATTGTCACACTGAGCAGGCAGCTTGGTCTCATAAGACAAGAAGAGTTTATTAATCAAAAGCTCCAGAATGTCTGACACTAAAATCCTGTGTAAACTATTTTCTTTTATTCTCGCCTTCTAACCATGTATAAGAAGTGGTGATGGCATTGTGATGATATTTGTAAAGCCATTTGGCTTGCATGACTGTACGTGCAGGTATACATATGGTACAACCAAATAATTGAAAATGTGCCTGGCAAAGAGGTCAACCCAAAGGGTAGCAGAGATGCCTTTAAACCAGCTTGGAATGACACTGGGGCATGAAGCAAGTGTGAGGGTGGAATGTGAGCGATTTGCATCTTGTCTCATTTCTGCAAAAGTGTATGACTTGGACAGTGAAGCTGCATCTCTGAAACTCATATTGTCAACTATAAAATGAGAAGAATCAATAGGATCAATATTAAAATCGTTTAGCTTAATAAGTAGTGCTGACTATATTCCCATTATTTAAAAAATCCAAACAATATGGATAAAGTGAAAGTCCCGTCGACCCCCATGATCCCACCCATCCTTGCATGACAACTTCTGCAAACATGCTGTGGAGGATCTATCTTTCCACCACTTTTATCAAACATGCACATTCTGTACAAATGTTGTTATTATTTTGTTGTTAACTTTATGCAAAAACACGGAGCCATAGTTCTTAATTCATTTTTTGAATTTTAAGAACTTAAATTATTAAACTTCAAGAATTTTAAGAATGAAAATTAAGTATCTTCCTCCCTCCCAGAAAATGTACAAGCATACATTTTAAAAGCAAAATCCTCATGTTGACTACAAAGCCCCTTGAAGGACTCCCTATCCATGCACTGCAGTTTAGGAAATCTGATCTAGAAGCTTAAAAGGGCTATTTGGTTCAAAAATTATGTTCTATAATTTTTAGCACAAGCCCATTCTGTGTTTCTTCATGTCGGCCTTTCCCTCCTCTTCACACAAAAGCATTTGCTAGACTTAAATGAAAATTTTTTTTTTCAGTCTCACATGGATATAGTTCTAAAAATTATATGAGCAAAATGCATCATGGAATAAAATTCTCCAACTCCAGATCATGCTCCCAGAGGCAACCTCTTTCTTGTCTTTTAGCTGTTCCTTCTGAGATGTCCCTCTGTGTTTCTCAATAATATGCTAAAAGCTGGCTTATTGAAAAAAGCTGAACCAGATGACACACAAACAGAAAACAGCTTTATTTTTCTCCAACCTTAGCCTTCAATCTTTCCCGGCTTTAGTGACCTGTCAGACATATTATAATCTAGACAATTATTTTCTAGGCTGAGTTAGCCTAGTCCCACTTGTATACTTCAATCATGTCTGGATTAAAGCTCCTCCCTTCTCTCAGGTCAGGGGTGTGCAGGGATGAAGATGAGGCTGATGTGTTGGTCAGGGTCAAATGCCCCCCAAATAGAGTACTTCCTTTCTTTGTCTGCCATCTTACTGGTCTTAGAAGCCCAAAGTAACCCAGTGATCACACCAAGCTTCCTGGTACGCTGACTGGGCTCCCTGAGGGTTGAGAACAGACAGGCCTGATGCTCCTGGGAGGAGTTAGACTGCCCACTTACCTGCTTGTCAAGATCCTTCTCTGTGGGGCCTCCCCGGTGGCGGTGGTGCAGCGGTTGGGGCCTCCCCGGTGGTGCAGCGGTTGAGCACTGGGTTGTGAAGCTGGCCGTAGCCTCTGCATGGCAGGTGCGATCCCTGGCTGCTCCCCGGCCACCGGAGGAGGGTCCCGCATGGCGCGCAGACCTCTCCTGCCGCCCGCTGCTCCCTCCAGCAGTGTACTTCGGTCCTTCTGCCTGCTCTGCTCCCCGCTCTGGCTCTGGTGAATTCTCTCACCCTCCCGCGCTTCTGACTGTACCTGGTGCTTGTATCAATCAATCAATCAATAAATCTTTATTTAAAAAAATGAAAGTATTATGTGAGGTCCCTTAAAATCAGGGATTCCCTTAAAAAAAAAAAAAAAAGATCCTTCTCTGTGAAGGGTACTTTTTGGTAAACACAGTTCTGTTAGAAACATCCACATCCCTTGCCCTACTGTTCCCTGTCTCTGAGGCTATAGTCTTACTTCCTGCAGCCTGTCACTAACTGCTGACCAGTCTCTTTATAACCTCCCTCATAAGAAGTGACCTACTGATGTCCTATATGCCAGGAGACTACCTCAACCCCACTGTCCTTCACAATCACCTCTGAGTGAGGTCTCAAGGCAGCTGAAGTCCTGTCTCCGCCAACCCAAGCGTAGACTGCCACCTCCCCCCAACTCTGGCTCACGTTCTCTTCCTCATTTGGCCAAAGGGGATTCCCAAGGGCATGTGGTAGCTTAGACTCTAACAACAGAATGGTGGTTACCAGAGAGGAAGGAGGGGGATGGAATGGTAGAGGGGCCTCCTGTTTAGTGGTGGATCATGACTGGATGTTGGGTATACAGACACTGAGGTGAGAAATTTTACAAATGAAACCTACACAGTAACTACAGTTACTGTAGTAACTAAAGTTACCTCAATAGACGTATAAATAAAAATGTAAATACAAACACACAGACGAGCACAAGGGTGGAATTGAGGGCCACACTTGGTGCAGCAAGGTGTGACATGGGAGACTGAGCATTACTCTATTTGTGCTTTCCAGGCCTGCCCAGGCTCCATGTTGAGAGCACTGTTTCTGTTTTGCAATGGATTGCTACTGTGCTCCATAAATTCCTCCAATTACTATTTTTATTAAATTCTATAGTTTTGGAGAAATACTCTTGTGGAAAATTGATGCAAGAAGTTTATGCAAGGGGAAACACCTACACTACACACTGTGAAATCTGTAATATGGGATCTGATGAATTTTGGGCAATCTCTGCAAATCACATTCCCTTCCCTCTCAACCATGGGTGCTGCTTTTCCTTTCCTAAGCAGATGTGGAAACTTGGAGTGTACATTTTCCTGTGTGTCTTCCCAACCTTTTCTGGAACTTCAAGCATACATTAAGACATGGAATTCGTCAAGCACTTGCTCCCTGGTTATGTCAAATCATGGTCTCGTAGCCTTCCGTGGCTGTGAAAGGCACCAGCCTGGCCCTAGCTTTGGCTGTTTCACCCACCCTCTTCCAGCATTGGGAACAGCAAGAGTGAGAGACACACTGTTGCCCAGGGAAGTAGACCCTGAGATTTCAATAGAGACTCCAGTCTTGTTTCTCTGTTTTGCTCCATTGCTAATTCTCTCTTGACCAGGGACACTTTCCTTCTCCAAATGGGTCATCCACGGAACCCTTTGCTCTTCAGTCTTGTGTCACATCTTCATGGTACACCTTTCAGGTCTAGTCATATCTCAAGGATTGTCTATATTTGTCCTGGTGATCATAGTATAAAGACATGTTGCTTTCTAGTGCTTAAAAAGCAGAAAGCCAGCCTGTAAGGTATTTCTGATACTTCTGGCTCTAAATACTTCTTTTATTCTGCTCTGCCTTGGGACTCTGAGTGGTGATTATAATTACTTTATAACACAATGGAATGGATTATTATAGCAGAAGAAAATGTTTCAAAGGAGTACTTAAATCCATCAAAGCATCCCTTATCCAAGTTTGTTGACTTAAAAGAAGAACTGTTAACAATATATAGTTTTTTCAATTGTCAAGTGTCCTTCCTGACCTTTTATTGTTTCACAATTTGAAAGTAAATTATGGTAAGATTGTCTGAGCTACCCGCCTCAGGATCCAAAGTCTACTTAGTTCTGTACCTTGGGCTGGTCTTTCACTGGAGCTGTCTACACAACTCAAGCTTCTCCACAAGGAACCTGCCGGAGCACATCCAAGGGCAGTGGATGAGTTTGATACTCCCCACTCCCACCCCACTGCCCTGGCTTCATGTTCTCTGCTGAATCCATGATGTGCTCAGGTGGAGCTGGCTCTGTTCAGAGTCCATATAATCCTGAGGGCCTGCTGCTATGTGCCTTTCCTGCCATGTCCACAGACATTTTACATTTATATTATATTAGACTTTTAACATATAAACAGTCATATAACTGACATGAATAAAAGCCAACGAGGCGATAAGAGAGGTGGAAATGGGTCCTGTGAGAAAGTGTCTGGAATTACAGGATTTATCCTGAAAGAGGGTAAAAATCGGAATGGGTGTGCTGTTCTGAGACTCACCCTTTTCTCTGGCATGAGGCGATCAAAGAGGCTTTGAGCCGAGAGGGTCACTAAATGGGGAATCAGAAATGGGGGCAAGTGGGCCAGGGAAACACTGAGAGCAAGTGCATAGGGGCTGAAAGGATGTAATAAGACTTTGTGAAGGAAGAATCAATCGGGAGTGGAGGTTGGGCATGGGGCAATTGGGCAATTGTGGAAGTGCTAGAATGGGGTATAGGGGGGATATTATATACTGGAAATCGAATCCTGCGGATTCTTGGGAGATTTTTGAGAAGGGGCGTGCATGATGAAGGTTCTGAGGAATGAATCCAATGCTGGGGTATGGTATAATAAAGTTAAGAGAGACCAGAGGACCATGCCCCGCATCGACGCGGACCTCAAGCTGGACTTCAAGGATGTCCTGCTCCAACCCAAGCGCAGCAGCCTCAAGAGCCGGTCCGAGGTGGATCTGGAGCGAAACTTCACGTTTCGGAACTCGAAGCAGACCTACTCAGGGATTCCCATCATCGTGGCCAACATGGACACAGTGGGGACCTTCGAGATGGCAGTGGTGATATCACAGCATTCCATGTTTACAGCCATTCATAAGCATTATACCCTGGATGACTGGAAGCTCTTTGCCGCGAATCACCCAGAATGCCTGCCGCATATAGCCGTGAGCTCGGGCAGTGGGAAGAAGGATCTAGAGAAGATGAGCAGCATCCTGGAAGCTGTGCCACAGGTCAAGTTTATTTGCCTGGATGTGGCCAATGGGTACTCAGAGCATTTTGTGGAATTTGTGAAACTCGTCCGTGCAAAATTTCCAGAACACACTATTTTGGCAGGGAACGTGGTGACAGGCGAGATGGTGGAAGAGCTGATTCTTTCTGGAGCAGATATAATCAAAGTGGGAGTTGGGCCTGGTTCCGTGTGCACCACCCGCACCAAGACCGGGTGGGCTACCCCCAGCTGAGCGCCGTGATCGAGTGCGCGGACTCTGCCCACGGCCTCAAGGGGCACATCATCTCTCTTCTAGGAGCAAGGAAGGCAAACAGAATGTATACTGATGGGAGAAGAGACGGTGGTACTAGAAGACACTTACGAGCTAAGAAATATCTGGAGGATATGGAGAGATAAATCACTGCACCTTCCAAGATGATTCTGAACAACCACTCAAACTATTCTTTAATGCCCAGAAATGTATGGCTTCTTCTACTTAATCCATTTCTTCTATACAACGTGAAGAAAACAAGTGCAAAGGATAGACTAAGGTCATGGACTACAGGTGCTTTGCTGGTTTCTAGATTCCTGCTATGAGTGGGACCATCCAGTGTTTTTCGTCTTCTTTTTGGCTTGTTTCGCTGAGCATGATCCCTTCCAGCACCATCCATGTTGCTGCAAATCGCATGTGTTTATCTTTTGAATGCTGAGTAATATTCCATGGTGTATATGGACCACATCTTCTTGATCCAGTCATCTATTTTTTGGCATTTGGGTTGTTTCCCTATCTTGGCTGTTGTAAACAGTGCTGCTATAAACATAGGGATGAGATGCCCTTTTGAGTTGGTGTTTCTGTGTCCTTTGGGTGGATACCTAGGAGTGGAGTTGCTGGATCATATGGAAGCTCTATGTTTGGTGGGTCCAGAGATCTCCACACAGCTCTCCATGGTTGTTGGACCGGTTTGCACTTCCGCCAGCAGTGCGGGAGAGTTCCTTTTTCTCCACAACCTCGCCAGCATTTGTTGTTGCTAGTTTTTTTAATATGTGCCGTTCTCACTGGTGTAAGATGGTATCTCATGGTGGTTTTGGTTTGCATTTCCCTGATTGCAGGTGATGTTGAACATTTTTTCATATGCCTGTTGGCCATTTGCATTTCCTCTTTGGAGGGGTTCCTTTTTGGCTCTTCTGCCCATTTTGTGACTGGATTATTTACTTTGTTGTTTTTGAGTCTCTTCAGCTCGCTAAGAGCAGTCATTATTCTATGAGGACATCAGAAGTCTGCATACTTAAATCTCTAGAAACTTCTAAATATTGATTTTACACATGATCATCACAAAAGAAATCTTTCAGGATCAGTACAATCCTGATTACTTTCTGAACTGTGTAGGTTTTTCTTCTGATTCATCAATGAAAAATACTTGTTTTAGAATTGAAAAATCCCCATACTTTGCCCCCTCTTGTCACCGATGAAGACATGGAGGTGCCGCTGAAAGCCATCTTCCCTCAGCGCCCACGGGCCCTAGGAGGAGACAGTGATGATCACTGAGGGAAGGGAAGGGCAGCCGTAGTCTCTTCTGACTTGCTAGAGAAGCAGCTGTCAGTAGTTCTCCTGAAGCCTCCTAATAAAGGTTAAAGGCTCCATTTAAGTAAGCCCCTGGAGGGGCTGCCAGGATGGCCTAGGGGTTAGGCTCAGCGCTCTCACCGCTGCGGCCTGAGTTCAAGCCCCGGCCAGGGAGCTACCCGCAAGGAGCGTGGGAGTTAGCCCCCATAAGGGGGCATGGAGCCAGAGCGCAAGTGGTGCAGCAGAAGTTCTCTTCTTTCTGTGCCTGCTGCTCCACCATGCTCTGTGCTCCAGACCTCCCTCTCGCCCCGCCCCTCTCTCGAATAAAATCTGACACCTAGATACTCCCAGTGCCTAAACCAAATGTGAATCAGTTATGATTAACAAGTACCATGCGACCAAACACCCCTCCATATGTAAAGTATCTAGTACCTTGAAATTTTTAATTTTGGCATTTAGATAAATCAACTACACCATTTGTTCTTTCCCTATAAAAAAGAGAGACCAGAGGCAGAAAAAAATAGCAAAAGGTTAGCCTGAGCAGCACTTCAGTGGGCATGAAACAGCTATCCATGCAATCCCACACTTCCTCACCTTACAGATTGTTCTGGCATATTCCAGTGACCGCAGGGATTGGCTCTGGGGTAATGGAGATAGGGCACAAGCAGAGCCTATTGAAATTTTAATTTCAAATGGGAGGAATGGAGTCCTCAGAGCTGGAGGATATTAGCCACCATATTCAGTACTGGCCAGCTTATTTGCAGCAGGTGGGAATAGAGGTTTAGCATGTTATGTGCCAGAGGCAGAGGCAGAATCAAAAGATGAGTGAGCAGGGAGAGAACTGACAAGTGAATTACCTCACAGGCCCCTAGATCCAGTTGTGCTATCTAGCTTTCCAACAAGCTCTATTAAGTCAATACATTGTGACACTTGCAATGGAAAGAGTTGAAGTGGATACAGATATTATTTTTTAAAGTATCAATACAAATGTGCAGAGTATGGGAAAAAAATCAGTCACAAATCCAGCATTTTTATCCTAGGTATGAGGTGTATTGAACATAGTGACTAGCACTTAAGTGCGCTTGGAGTTTGAGTGAATGAATGCATGAATAAATGATGCAAGACACAGGAAAAAAGGCAGCGTGTTGATGTCAATTGTCTTCAAATATTGCATGTTTAGTTTTTAAACAGTAAGTATTTTTACAAGTAAATTTCTGTCTAATCTATATGATATAGTTGTAGCTATCCACTGCTACAAAATAAGTATCAATATTCAGAGAGGAAAAAGAAACTTTGGAGAGGATTAGGTGGATCTAGATTGGCCATGGAAAATACACAACTGTCCCTTATTTGCAACCTTAACTGAAAATATACTTCAATCCTGTTCAAAGATGGCCCTGCCTCATGTAATCTGTGGTCATGTGCACTAGTACAGTGTAGTCTGGTTAAAGATGAGGTTTCTTCTTCAAAGGTTTGCTTTCAATTTGGGATGGAGTCATACCTTAAGTTGGGTTATTGCTGCAGAAGCAAAAAGGATGTGACAGCAGGACAGCAACTGGGGGTATCCCAAGCTGAGTGGGATTGTCCTGCGCCCCACAGCAAACCCCCACAACCTCTCCTATCTAGTATCAGACACTCCTCCTGTAACAGGGTGGTCCCCAGGAAAGGGGGAGGTTCCAGCTTCCCTGCCCCACCCAAGGAAGGGTGGAGCTGAGCAGGGAGAGAAGAAACTGCAGAAGAGACTGAGGAAGGAAGCTGGATGGAACTAGGAGACCTGGAAGAGGCGCATGGAGCCTAGAGACACGTGAAAAAACTGTGCTTGTCTTTTGGTCGTGGACTGGGTGACACAGATGTGGGTGAGACCCGTGGGGAGGTGACAATGGCAGCTTTTTTCTTGATGTTGATTTTGCTCTTTTCCTTCCGGGCTTGTCCGGTTGTTTGTGACCCTTTTCTGTGGGTCCCCACTGGAAGATGTTTTAGACTTGTAGCAGGCTTTGGGGCCTTGTTCTGGGCCGATCCCATTTGGATGGAGTTTTACCCACGAGGGGATGGGTAACTTTGGGTGCTTCATTTAGAAACTAGACTCTGCCTTACCTGTATTGTTTCCTAGTTTTATTAAAGTTCCTTCCCATTAAAGTCTCCTATGTTTTGTGTTGATGCGGCGGATGGCAGAACCCATGTAGAATAGGCAGGTTTGCGGGGTTTGGGCTGCCCCTCTCCCTGTCCTATAACACTCCCAGAAGTGTGGCTTATATCCCTAGCCTTAAGGGGCTATATAAACTTGGGTAGGCTTTTGATTCAGTTGTAACCAATAGAATAAGGGAAATATGACCATGATTTCTGAGATTAGGGAGTAAAAGTTTGGCAGTTTCTGCCTCATTCTTGGAACACTGATGCTGGAGCCCTCAGCTGCCATACACACAATCCTACAGCCCCCAGGCCACTGTGTTGAGAGAAAGCCCAATTAATCCCAGGGAGAAAGCACCTGAAGAAGCTGAAGACCACAAGAATAGAGAAAGAAATGGCTGCCTAGTCCCTGCCTATTCCAGACAGCCCACTGGATGCAGGCAGCAATACCAGCTACTGTGTCTGTGACTGCAGGAGAGAACTCCCTGATCAAGCAGTTCCTGAATTCTTAACCCATGGAAACCATGGGGTAATTGGTGCTCTGCAGTAACAACCAGACAATTATGTAGTCATTGGAGGGGATTTGTGGTAAGATATTACTGTATCTTCAGATGGCTTGTAAAATTTGTCAGACCCCACATCTACTTTGCCAACTCCGGAATGAACCCTTCCCTCAACATAATTGACTTCAACTGCTCTAAAGGGCAAATGCTTAGACCATCTCATGTACACAGCTTGAGATGCTTGGACTATGGGACTCCAACTATGAAAAGGGATGAAAACATATCCCTTTTGAATGATGCAAGTTTATGCAATTAGCAGACCTCAGATACTAATGTAAATCACATGGATTTGTTTTTAATCCTCCCTCTAACAAAGACCAAAAAAATGAATTATTTATTATGTTAGCTTTAACTACTGGAAATATAAAACTGATATATATATATATATACCAATGTAAGGCTTGTTATAGTCTTAATTTTCCAATAACAATGAAAAATTTTTTGACAGTGCACAGATTAGGCGCTGAATAAATGTTCCAGTAAGATTACATTATGTAGCTTTTGTAACTCAATGTGGTGGAATATTGCATTTTCCTGCTACTGAAAATAGAGTGAAATGCGGTTATTAGAATTATTGCAATATCTGTGTGCACATTTTCAAATATAAATGACATACTATAAACATAAATCATTCAACTATAGTGTGATTATGTTGAAATAATACAACATGGACATAAATGAAGAGAAATGATGTTGAACTGCCTTTCCAGCTACAAGATTTAAAATTCTACCACAAAGATCAGAATTATAATTGGAAAACTGAGTAAATACTGTGGCAATACTTTTAACCTGAGAATAGCACCAATTTCTTTGAAACTGAAATTGTGGATATACATTCCTATTTATCTCACCAGGCACTTCCTCTGCACTGCACAAAATAGTCATATCACTAGCAGAAATGAGGTAGGATGTTAGCATAAAGCGGAGATAAAATTTAAATCTGGTGAGATGGTTAAAATAAAAAAGAAGAAATAGTTTTGTTTGAAAGGCTCCAAATAAGAGGCGAAATACAGGGATCCCAAAAGGTACCATCATGTGTGTCAGCCCACAGGAAATCAGGAGGCACTATAACTTAGTGTCAAATACATAAATGTCTACATATTTCAAAATGAATGAACTTTGTATCGTTAGCTGCACTCCAACTCTCTGACCTCTGATAGGTCCCTCTGCCCAAGAAGGTAAAATATAGACTAGGAACACATGGAATTTGCTATTTATCATAAAGGGATCAAGGCAGGAAACCCGCAGAGCCTGTGCACTGGTTCCAACAAGACCATCTACAGAGTTTAATCCCCAAGAGGTTATAAGCAGTTCTGTAACCCCCTTGTTCTCAC